GGATCCAGAATTTCTATCCTGGGGAAGGCACACTTGCCTGGATTCCGGTGTTACTTTAACACCATTCTCTTTCTTCACAAAGTTTTTCTTTTCTATTATTCTCTGGATCTTTTCAGAGAGGATCTTGAAATAAACAGAGGAAGTTAAGAATGTCTTTTCAATTTTTTTTTTTTTTTTTTAACCTGGAGGTCTGAACAAGGCATTGTGTAAGGCTTTTCATATTGTGTGAGTAGGTTGTGGGTTATCAATGGATTAAAAGCACCTCAAGTCTTTTTGTAGCAGAGGTTAGGGAAGTAAGATCACAAGGCTTGAAGTTGGAAGATCGAAGCTGTGTCCAATTCTGTTTCCTCTAAGCCATGTGAGCTTGGCTGTAGGACCTCCAGTTTCCTCATCTATAAAATGAGTGCAATTCCTTATATTGAATGAGATACAGTGTGGAAGGGGTCTGTAAACTCTTGATGACTGAAAAGCACTTGAGATGGCAGACGTGGATTTGGGTTGCTTCTCTTTTGCCTCTCATAGGCCTGTGGTGTGGAAGATGTTTAAGAAATCCTCATGGGCTGCTTATTTGGGATGGATTCCAGAAAATACTGACAGAAAGTGGGAAGCAAAAGAGGATGTTGGAACCATTACAGGTAGCACTAGTTCCTTCTTTGATGTTTGTGCTTATAATCTTTCCTTGAACCTGTGGCATCATCTGCCAAGAAAGTACTGGATTTTATTAACCATTCTTACTGATGTCTTCAATCCCCCTTTCAAGCCCTCAGTGTCTATTCTCTTGATATGCAAAATGTATTGCAAAAACAGTGGGTTTTTTAAAAGAAAGATCTTTCTAAAGAACTGTAATCATCGACGGCTCTGTGTTACAACTAAAGTTTCCCCTTGACACATTTAGGAGGCTGCAAAATGCATGTCATTTCCAAATATTCCTGAAAGTCATCTCACGGACACAGCCCAGGAGGAAAGGACGACGTATGTGGGGTGCCAGGGACCACACTGCGAGTTGGCCAGTGTCATTCGTAATGGGCTGTCCAGCAGGTGCGTAAATAACTGCTGGAGGGGGCGAGGTTTTCCACTCACCTTCCCCCATGGCTCCTCTCCAACCCTCAGCAGAGACCCAGGTTCCCACAGCTGGATTAGCTAAACACTGGGTAAGGTGAAGCCCCCCAGTGTGCTGCAGAGGAGAGTTCGCTCCTACGGCAACGACAGCAGTGTGAGAAAGACTTCTGTTTGTTCAAAATGGCAGGGTTCACCAGCCAATTGAAAACTTCAGTGTTCTGTACAGACGCACAGTTCCTGTCATACGGTTCGAGGCTACCTGGGGGGTTTTGAGCCTTCACTAAGTGTAAGACCTTCTGCGGAGTGCCGTGGAGGTTAAAGAGATGCCTGGGACCTTGCCTAGGCTTCAGGAGTTCCTGAGTTTGTTGGGAGGACTACGTGTCATTCCATTAGAGGACAGATGCACGAACTCCAGCCACCCACTTCCGGGTCGGAAAGGACAACTCAGCATGCTTGTTGGTAGAGGAAGGACTCAAATCAGGCATTCTTACATTTATTTATTGCTCAAATGGCTAATCGGTCCATGCACTGTGGTGTGACTGCTCAGAGAGGGTCAGTTGCAGTTGTGTGACTATTTACAGAAGGACAGAGCTCAGCAGGCCGAAGAGGTAAAGGGGACCCAGGCAGGAGGAGCGAGGAGAGGCTAAAGCTGCATAGCGCACCCAGAAAATGGGCGGGGGCAGCTGGGGCTCTGGGCTGGGATGTACGGGGGTTGGGGGAGAGTCGACCGGTGGGTGAAGGTTCGGAGGGAGACAGAGAGAGCTGAGCTACACAGGGTTCCAAAGGCCCCGCAGAGGGACAGCAGTTCTACTTGCAAATCACATATTAATTAAATTCACTCACTCATTCATTCATTCATACACATTTGCAGACATAATGCTCATGTGCCTAACACAGCTTAATTTTGTTTTTTTTGAGGCAGGGGTCTTACTATGTGGTTGAGACTGACCTGGAACTCACTAGGTAGCCAGGCTGGTCTCAAATGCTCAGGGATCCTCCTGCCTCAGCCTCCCTACTGCTGGGATTACAGGTGTGTGCCACCACGCCTGGCCACAGTTTAATTCTTTTCTCATCCCTTTCTCTGCCCTCCCACCATCTCCTGATCACCTTCCCCTTTGATAAACATCATCCTCAAGGGCTGGGGATTTAGCTCAGTGGCGCCGCTGCCTGTCTTGTAAGTACAAGGTCCTGAGTTTGATAATTTAGCTCAGTGGCGCCGCTGCCTGTCTTGTAAGTACAAGGTCCTGAGTTTGATTCTGGGTACAAGAAAAAGAAAAATCCATCTCCCTACTTCCCATTATCTATCTTTTACTTTGCTCTTTATTTTATATGTTGGGCTTCTCGTGTAAGAGAAAACATGCCATATTTTTTTCCTTTATTGGGGGTGGGTACTGGGGATCCAACTCAGGACCTCAGGCTTGTGAGGCAGGCGAGGTGCCACTGAGCTAAATCCCTGGCCAAGCGCACTATATTTAATCGTGTGTGTCTGATTATTTCACTTAACATTATGGTCTCGAGGTGCATCCACTCTCCTACCCATGGCGTGGGTTTACCCTTCTGTATGGCAGAGTCGAGCTCCGTTGCGTGTAAACACCGCACTTCCTGTGTCGTGATCTGTAGCTGGGCATGTAGGCCGCTTCCAAGGCTCGGCCACTGTGGATTGTGGTGCTATAATCGTGTGTGCGTAGACCGCTGTTACATGGTGTTGCTAGCTCTCTGCTGAGTCTACAGAACCGGTGATGCCCAAGTGCCTCAGACGTGACCGGCGGAGGTGTGCCAGACTGGGATCAGGGCTACTTCGAATCTGAGCTGTGCTGTGCACTCGGGAGTAACTCTGGACCAACTCACGTAACTGTCTCAGATGGCGACAGCAGCACCAACCAGCAGCCGGCCGTGCCAACTGTTGGCATCCAGCCGGTGTCATCTGGTGCCCTCAGAGCTGCTGGCAGAGCTGCATTTTGCCGGCTCATGATTTCCATCTGCGCAGAGCCAAAGAACCCTGGGCCTATTGGCACCAAATCCAGGAATGTGTGGGCTCTGTTTCAGTTATGGAAACCAATAAATTCCCCCCTTTCACTTAAAAACAAAAGAATACGGTCCTGACACTCAGGTTTCTCCGTGAGGATGTGGTCTGTGAGGGTCAGGTTAGGAGAGACAGGAGCAGGCACCTGGGGCATTGCCCACCCTGCAGAGCTGTAAAACTGAGAATTTGTGTATCTAAAGTTCCAGCTGTTGCAATGCTGCTAACACAGGGGCCACACTTCCCACACCCAGAGGGCCTCTATTTTATTTCATTTGGCCCTAGGGCTTCCCCAACAACCACCTTCCCTTCTCTGCTGAGTCCTCCAGATGCCCAGGGGCTACCAAGTCCCATTCGTCACTGTGGTCAGAGGTAGGTATTTATGACAGAACCTATGTTAGTTACGATGACCTACGATCTTGCCTTCTTCTCTGTTCATCCATCGGCAGAGCTGGTTTTGTTTTTTTTTTTTTTTTTTTTTTT